AAATGTTTAAACCTGATGCATTTTTATGCACCTGTCCTAAGTCAGGAGCCTGTTGTTCAGTGGTTGTCGTTTGTTGGTGTGGTTCATAGGTGTTTCTCGTTTTTTATATAGATTAGACCGTTGGTTTTTCTGTTTTACACTAGTCTTTTTGGGGCCCGTTATAGCTTGCTGTTCGGAGTGAGCCAAGGCTCCGTGTTGAAGGCCGTACTTTGACCTATAATTGCTTACTCTTTACACATTGTGACTTGGATGGATAGTTGTGTCATTAGAACTCATACCACATCTTCTTATTTATAGTTATATAGTAGATAGACAAACTGACAAATTACACTGTAACAGAGTGTCCTATTAAACATTTTTTCCCTGAGTTAGGTATAATTCAAAAGTTTTTAATTTTACCAACATCACTGACTTATGGGTCTTACTCTATAGAGTGAGTGAGGGATGAATCAAGGATTTGCAAAAGATGATCAAATGGGCCTTTGAAAGTAATGACTAATTAAAATATGTACATTTAAGATCTGAAAAAGACTATACATTTCTAAATTTAAATTAAAACATATTACATGTATTTTCTTTGCAAATGCTGTTTTGTGTCTGTTAAAAATTCCAGACTTGGACCCTCTAATATTAAGTCCTAAGTCAGAAAAGTATTCATTGGTGGATGTTTTAAGATCTAATTGAAATTTCATGCTTTGTAAAAGGTAACACATAAGCAAATTATGCAGTATAATTCTTTGATGTATCAAGAACTATTATGTAACCTTTTGGTATGATTTTATTTAAGAATGAGATTTTTGAGAAAGCTGATTCCGACTAACTTCCAAATTAAAATTTTCCTGGTAGTTATTTAATTCATTAGCATTTCACTGAACACTGGAACCCTTAATTAAAAAAACTGTTTTCTTCTTTGAAACATAATAAACTGTTCAAATGAAAACAAATGAATCACATCAACATGTCCAAGACTGAGATTAATTCTTTGCTTGCTATAACAAAACTTTTTATTTATTTTCTTTTTGTAATATATATATCTCAGTAAAGGAAAGTTAAGACTCCCAGTGGAAGCATTAAGTCTTAATGAACACAGGAAGACCTGTCGTTAATATTCATTGTCAAGTCTACTGCACCATTATCTGTTGTCAGCTTATACTTTGGCGAAGATTTTTTTTAAAAGGTAGATTCTTACAATGACCAACTTTAGAAATTTTTTTCTTATATAGACTTCCTGTCCTTGGAACAATTAGAATGATTGAGATTTGTCTATTTCTGAAAAAAAAGGGTTCATTATAGGAAGATATAAAGTCTGTCATTCTGGACAAATCAGAATGACTGAGATTAGAGATTCAGACTATATCTATCAAAACATCATAATTAAAATTAGAAGAGTGGCAAAACTTTCAAGGTAAAAAGATGTGATAAAGAACCTTTGAAGCCAATACGAAAGACAAAATGCTTCTGTCTAAGAGGTTTAATATTGTATCAATAATTTGTCCATTTCTTTTTTTTTTTGGAAAAAAAACCATGAAATATAACTTACACCTTCTCATTTCATTAGTTGATTGTATCATGGAAGTATTATATTGACAGGAACTCCAACAAACCGATTTCAAACGTTTATAGTGCGATGCCGCCAAATCGTTAAGTATCTGTTAATTAACTTGACATCTTTCAATTAGCATGGGTTCAACAACGTTTTCGGGATACTCGTAATTACGGAATTTACCGAAGTAAACGGATGTATACATAAATGTCAAGGATATGACATTTAACGACCATGCCAACATTTGGCAGTTGACAGTTTTTTACTAGGTTTTCTATGTTAATAAACTATCGTCACTTACAAATATTGCACTAATCAGTATGGACGTGCACGATTTTGATGATGAAGAATTTGAAAAAATTATCGGTGAAGACATTGAAGAGTTTTATTGCTTTTGTAAATCTGAAACTTGTTCAATAGAAAAGATAAAGGCTGTACGGTGACCTATAGTTGTAAACTTCTATGTCATTTGGTCTCTGGTGGAGAGTAGTCTCATTGGCAATCATATCACATCTTCTAATTTTCATATTGAATTCTAATAAATTTCTTGTGTAAGGAAACACATCATGAGTTGTAATCTGCATGTATAATTGAGGTTTACTGCTAACTTTGACAAATATCTTGTCGCATTAGTTACTGAAAGTCCGATGTCAAATATTTCATGCATTTCAACAAAAACAAAATATTATAAATTTCCAAACAAACGCTGCAAGATGTTTCAGATATGTTAAGCCTTTACAAATACATTTAATTCTAAACTGGTTAATTCTAATGATAAAATTTTAAGAATATACTGCTTAGGACCCAGCATTATGATAGTTCTTTATATGCATCGAAATATTTAAAATTAAGCCATTATTTCCCAAAACAAGTCCGTCAGACGTCAGAGCAATCTCGGACTAGGTTGAAGATTGTTTTAAACTTTTGAATTTATTCAAAAGGTGTACATGTAATCGGTGTTATAACCTGATACATGCTATATGAAGAGGCCATCACGTGCGTATAATTATCCACCTCTCTTAGTGTTTAAAACATTTTCTATAAATATGTTAAATTACATTTTACGATATTTTACGATAGAGAAAACCATAAATATTTGTGTTACACTCGATTAAAGTTTTCAATCTTTAACTTAAAATTTGAGTTATCCGGCACCATCCGGCACACTACACGCGCATCACATTATTTTCTGCAAACACTCTACTTCAGAGTCATGTAATTTTCATAACCGGATATTTCCCGATTTCCTAGTTCCAGTGATAAAAACATATCAAACAAAACTAAAAATAATATTACCTTCTTTCCGAATACAGTTAACTTTCTTTTGTCATTCTGTTAAATATGGACCGATTTTTTAGATTGTTTCAGCTGTAGTCTTTAATTATTGAACAGAAACAGGTGTCGTTATTCAAGTAGCGATTCGCAATTAGCCACGGGAGTTTCCGTGTTAATTTACATTGGTAGGTAGATAAGACCTTCGATAACAGATCACGTGATAAGATCAGTTTCTGTAAACTATACAGGCGAAGGCGGCATCGCAGATACCCCACAAAGAAGTTATCACGTACTTGAAAAACTGAGTCGGAACCTTTTATTTTCCCAAAGAAATCAGTGGGATTCGAATGTGCTAATTTTTCGTTGGAGTTCCTGTCAATATAATACTTCCATGATTGTATGTATATATAAAGAGAATACTTCTATTTATGTATATGTCATATAAAAAATACCACACATTTTGATACATTTAATCCTAAGGTGGATTTTAGGGTTAATCTTTTCAGAAAACAAAGATGTAAATATATTCACATTAAAACTACATACATTGGGAAATTTCATGTAAATTGAGATTTACATGAACTGATTTCAAGTGAATTTCACATAAATCTCATGTGAATTTTCAAATTTAATTTAAATCATGAAAAATACCATTATTTTTTTTTTGAAAATTCATGTGAGATTCATGTTAATCTCATTTCATGTGAAAATTTTCAAGTATTAGCTCGTTTGAGGTGAATTTCACTCGAGATTTATGCGAAATTTATGTGAGCAAAATTTGCCTGTGTTACCATTCAGATTTATTATATTTCCAAGAATATTTCATTCATGAACCAAAAATGTACATTTGAGGTGTAGAATGTAGAGGGCTTACAAATATAAATTTAAGGAAAATTGTTCTTTTGGTCTCTTATATTTGTATTATTGGCAATCATACCACATCTACCTATTCTAAAATGTAAAATAAAGTGGAGAAAATGGTGTTTGGTAAAGGCAATTCCATTGTAAAATATTTTTGAAATTTATAATCTGGATTTGGAAAACAAGTGAGCAGATAGGTAAACAAACATTATGTTGTTTTCCATAAAACCTATTGCTTTTCAAACAGCGTGTAATAATCATTTCCATCAGTCTGACCAATCACCATCTGATTACAATAAATAACTATGAGCCACAATTATTCCCAAATGCAAGCTTTACAAAATAATAGCCTCTAATTAACAGATCATTAGGAGGTGATAATTAGAGCAGATTTATATTGTTGATCAGTATTATATCTCCTAGAATATTTATGTCCATTATAGGCCCTTAATTAGCATTGATTTTTATGTTCTGTTCTTAAAATAAGCAGATTGTTGTCTGTATCTAATAAATATTTGGCAGAGGATATATACTGTGCTAATTCTCATGGGTACCAATTACACAGTCTTTCCTTATCATTACATTACATTTGATGCACAATCAGAAATATTTTAGTACACAAATGTCAAACCTAAACCTTGTTTCACCATGTTTATATATTAGCTTGTTCAATTATGAAGAACTTATAAATGAACATGCACTTCACACATAAACTCAAGAAATGATTAAAGATAACAAGAGCAGATTACAAACCATCAATGTATTAAGAACATAACACATTATGGTAAAAGAAAAGAGGAATTAAAGACAAGATGGTCAACAAAATATAAATTAATTAAAAAGGCTGTATGTTACTCATGTTTAGAATAGCCTTTTGTGGTTGAACGATCTAAAAAAATATTGGGTTACCTACAGGAAGTCATTAAGTGCCCTGTTTGGATGAACATTTTACCATGTGATAGCTCATACACTAATGATAGAAAAATATGTGATTGCTAGGAAATTTTGTCAATAGAAATATTTTTTGAAAACCTGAAATGCCCTTTTTGTTTGAAAGTAGTACTAGTTGTTAGCAAATGACTTACTGAATCCAAAAGTATACACAGCTAAGTAGGTAATTCTAGTTTGACAGAGTTGACCATAAACTTTTTTTCCTTTCACCTTTATAATGGTTTCAAATCAAAAGTCACCAGGTCCCTATGACTAACAGTACCTGTGTAATAAGACCTCCTGTATACTGTAGACAGTGAATAATTTACATAAAACATCCAATTTTTATCCAACAGGAGATGCCTTATTGGCTAAATAATCAAATACTTACGTCAAATGGTGATGGCTACTGAGGACTGAAGGTCATGCTCTCAATATATGTATATATGTACTGTTAATGGTATCCACTTTCAAAGGTTACATATTCTGGAGAACAAAAAATATTTCAGCACTGTTTACAAAGGTATGAAGTATTATGCAAACATAAAAATACCCTCTCTAAGATCACAAGATGAAAGATGCATTTCTAATATACATCAAACATTATTAGGCTATAAATATGGAGCCATTTAGTAATAAACCTGAGTTTTCTTCATTTGTGAAATCCAAAACTCTGATGTAAAAATCATATTTCATTTAATGATGCAGTATTAAGACCTGTATTAAACTTTGATATTTCTGGAATACAGTGCATAATCATTTATATTACATGGACAAATGAGCTCTTTCTACAGGGTGCATATACACTTAGATTTGTTAGGTTAGATTTTTCTTTAATGAAAAATCTATTACAGAATTAATCAACAAGGACAAGTCATTTTTCCAAGAGCATCAATGGAAGATTTCTATCAATAGCTGATCACATCTACCTGAATTTATCTCATCCACTTTTAGATGTCTGGGCTTTGCTGGGATCATTTTTAAAAATTAAAAAGGTGCACTCTATGCCTTCTTGACTTAGTTTCTTACTGAACATGTAACCCATCACATTTAATTTTACAAGTAGAAAAATAATGCGAATATAAATAGTCGGAACATTGTAAACTTGAATCTTTCCTAACATAAATACATAAAGAAAATAGATTTTTTTTTTTTTAAAAATCACTGTGAAGTCGGCTAAAAGGGGTAAGTGTCAAATAAAGTTTGTTTAAAGTATATAGAAATCTACAGCATGACAAAATGGATTTATTAGTAGACCATATGTTGAAACTCTAACTCTCATTTTTTATTTAATTTGAATGATGAGAAATTAAGTTAGAAAGTTGACAACTCTCAACTAAATGAAATCTAATTTTGTAGTAATCTTGTAAAATACAATTCCTGTAAAGCAATTAACTTTTCCAGAAAAAAAAAACAATTTAAGTTTCAACCTGTCATGACCCTTTTTCTTTAAAAATTTTGAAGAACCAAAAATAAATTGGTGTGAGTCAGCAGCAGATCTGTATATATCTCTCTCAAGAATGGTACTACATATCTTAGCACCTGTAATATGGCTTTTTTTAAAATGAGTGGTACATAATTTCTTTTTTATTATATAAAGGGAGGTAACTCAAAACTATTGTGACCAATACTTTTTTTTTTGTATTTCAAACTTAAGCATTCAAAATCCATAATAATAGATTGAGGCACATGGTGTGCATTTCAGTGAATTACTAGCCAATGTAGTATGATGCATTAGAGAAAACATGCCTATTACAGTATGATTAAGTACTTTCTTCGGATTATGTATTGCCCAAAAAAATGAAGACAAGATTAATTAACCAACAGAAGAATCAAGAAAGAAAATGATTCTCACATTCTTTATCTCACTTTCGCCTTAAAAATTAATAATAATAATGATCCAATTTATGATAATGATTAAATTTTCAAAATCTATGTTTATGCCTATTCCATATGAAAAAAATTCTCTTGAACATCAGATATGATTAATTATCTATATACTTATATAGTTAGAACTTTATTTATGTGTTGTGTGTTTCTTATGTAATGTACATAGCTGTAACTCATGTAATGTTTGCATTTTAGATACACTGCCAACATATGCTTTCCTAACCACACATTATTGGTTGAAAGCTGAGCAATTAGATGCCCAATAACATGAACAATAATGCAAAAAAAAAGTCAAAGAAGAATATGTCTGAGGACACGAATGCCCTTGCTCAAGCTTGCTTTTCAAATAAAATGGAACAGACAGAAAGACGGAAGGATGGACAGTCAAGAGAAACACTTAATGCCCCCTTCGCATTGTGGTAGGGGCATAAAAATAGATTTATCATCCACCCTTTAAAATATTTTGACAAGGGTTCCTGACCCTTAATAACCTATATTTTAAGTTTCAGCCAGAAAATTTCAACCTATATGCTTAGTGGTCATAGTTTATAATAAAATGCTCCGCTGGGGCGCAGCTTGATACGACCGCAGAGGGAGAACCCTGAACAGTTGGGGCAAGTATGGACACAACATTCAAGCTTGATACAGCACTGAATTTGGATTGTAATTAAATATTTGACACAGCATAGGTTTCTCACACAGAATGAAAGTGGTCTAAGAACTTAAAAATTTTTTAATTTACCAATTCAAACCATATCATTATTATTTGCTTTTATATTTAAATCAGAAATAACCAATTTAAAATGGAAAATTTTAAAGAAAAAAAATGAAAAAAAAATCCCCGCCCCAATTTTTTGAACCCCCTTATGATTCATCATCCCCAAACTCAATCCCAGCCTTCCCTTTGTGGTATGGTACCTTGCAGTACAATTTCAGAGAGATCCATACACTTGAACACAAGTTATTGTCTGGAAACTAGAAAAATACTTGTTTTTTGGCCCCAAATTCCTAAACGTTTAGGGCAATTACCCCCAAACTCAAACCCAGCTTTCCCTTTGTGATATGGAACCTTGCAGTACAATTTCATAAAGATCCATACACTTACACACAAGTTATTGTCCTGAAACTAGAAAAATGCTTGTTTTGCCCTTTTATGGCCCCTAATTACTAAAATTTTGAGGGAATTACCCCCAAAATCAATCCCAGCCTTCCCTTTGTGGTATGGTACCTTGCAGTACCATTTCAGAGAGATCCATACATTTGAACACATGTTATTGTCTGGAAACTAGAAAAATGCTTATTTTTGGCCCCTAATTACTAAACTTTTTGGGCAATTACCCCCAAACTTAATTCCAGCTTTCCCTTTGTGATATGGAACCTTGTAGTACAATTTCATAAAGATCCATACACTTACACACAATTTATTGTCATGAAACTAGAAAAATGCTTGTTTTTTGCCACTTTTTTGCCCCGAATTCCTAAAATTTGGAGGCAATTACCCCCAAAATCAATCCCAGCATTCCCTTTGTGATATGGAACCTTGTGATACAATGTCAGAGAGATCCATACACTTACACACAAGTTATTGTCATGAAACTAGAAAAATGCTTGTTTTTTGCCCCTTTTTGGCCCCTAATTCCTAAAATTTGGAGGCAATTACCCCCAAAATCAATCCCAGCATTCCCTTTGTGATATGGAACCTTGTGATACAATGTCAGAGAGATCCATACACTTACACACAAGTTATTGTCATGAAACTAGAAAAATGCTTGTTTTTTGCCCCTTTTTGGCCCCTAATTCCTAAAATTTGGAGGCAATTACCCCCAAAATCAATCCCAGCATTCCCTTTGTGATATGGAACCTTGTGGTACAATGTCAGAGAGATCCATACACTTACACAAAAGTTATGTCTGGAAGTTACAAAAATGCTTATTTTTGGCCCCTAATTCCTTAACTGTGGGTACCATAACCCCCAAAATCAATCCCCGCCTTCCTTTTGTGGTATTGAACCTTATGGTAAAATTTCATTGAGATCCATTCACTTAAAGTAAAGTTAGAGTGCGAAAACTAATGTGTCTTTGGACGACGATGAAGATGCTGGACGACGACGCCAACGACGACGACGCCAACGTCATACCAATATACGACACAAAAATTTTTTTGCGGTCGTATGAAAATAAATGATGACCCTCCAGACCCTTGATATACAGAAAACCCTTTTTGGGTCCTTGGGTTTCTGAGACAGGGGACCCTGCTTTGCCTGCTAGATCTGGAGACACATGCCTAATAAATTATTTTCTTGAAAAACCTAAAACCATAGATTAATCCAGAATCCCAAGATTTCAATTAAGCTCATACTATGAACAGTTATTGACCTTTAACCAATTGCCCTTAAAATTGAAAACTTTTCTCCCTCTCATTCTATATACCAATTGTATATGTTTAACTAGATGTGTCGGAACGACACAAATGGCCCCATCTCAAAAAAATTTTAAATCTGCAATTTCAACAACACATGTGGACACAAACATGCATGGATAGTTCCAGCTCTCAAGACCAATACTAATTTGATGAAAAATTTCCTTGATCAATGAGTAGTTAAATTTCAAACTATCAGCAAACAGTTAGTGGATGTACTGAAGATGTGTTGAAACGACATGAAAATCAGCATATAAGAACGAAACATAAACTTGATCTGTAACTCATCATGGTAGACTCACTTATCAAACATCAGTGCAAAATCTGAAGGCGTGTAGAAAAAAAGTCTGTATAACTGTGATTTTCAACAATATTCAAAGTCCAAAACCTATAATTACAGCAAAACTTAGCAGAGCCGAACCAAACTTAAACTTGATCTGTAACTCATCATGTTTAACTCACATACCAAAAATCAGCCCAATATCTGAAGGCGTTTAGAAAAAAAGTCCGTATAACTGTGATTTTCAACAATTGATCAAAGTCCAAAGCCCATAATTTCGGCAAAAATTAGCAGAGCGGAACCAAACTTAAACTTGATCTGTAACTCATCATGGTTAACTCCCATACCAAAAATCAGCCCAATATCTGAAGGCGTTTAGAAAAAAAGTCTGTATAACTGTGATTTTCAACAATTTATCAAAGTCCAAAGCCCGTAATTTCAGCAAAATTTAGCAGAGCAGAATGAAACTTAAACTTGATCTGTAACTCATCAATGTTAACTCACATACCAAAAATCAGCCCAATATTTAAAGGCGTTTAGAAAAAAAGTCCATACTGTGATTTTCAACAATTGATTAAAGTCCAAAGCCCGTAATTTCGGCAAAAAATTAGCAGAGCAGAGCTAAACTTAAAATTAATCTGTTACTCATCACGGTTAACTCACATACCAAAAATCAGCCCAATATCTGAAGGCGTTTAGAAAAAAAGTCCGTATAACTGTGATTTTCAAAAATTTATCAAAGTCCAAAGCCCATAATTTCGTCAAAAATTAGCAGAGCAGAACCAAACTTAAAATTGATCTGTAACTCATCATGGTTAACTCACATACCAAAAATCAGCCCAATATCTGAAGGCGTTTAGAAAAAAAGTCCGTATAACTGTGATTTTCAACAATTTAT